CCCGGCCCGCCACCGGCCGCGCCCTCCGGGTCGCACCATGAGCCCCTGCTTCCCTCGCCTAGACGCTTTTGTGTCTCTCCGAGTGCCTCAGCCGGCCGGGCTACCTGTTGCCAACCCAGCCTCGGGCTAGGGCCGTGGGCTGCGCTTCTCGGTGCGGCGGGGACCTCAGCCTCCCGGTGCCCACAGTCCCGAGAGACTGAGAAGGGTCAGGTCGGCGGGGTTGCCCTGCGACTGAAATGCCCTGAGTCTTTCCGCGGAGCGCCACTACAGCCAGGAGCGGCCGGGAAAGCTCCGAACGCAAACACCGCCCCCAGCACAATTAGGTCGAAGATGACGGCTGCAAAGTTGTTGCGTAACGCGACCGGGAAACGAGGCTGGACGCAGTCCATCTGCGCCCCCCGACCACTTGGAAAGGTGGTGACTCTCACATGTGAGGATCCGAGGTCTCGGTGCGTCTGGGAGGGACGCCAACCCCCTTCGGTGTCCCGGCCCCAGCGGGCGGCGCGGGGACTCGCAAAGATCTGGAGCTGGTAGCTCTCGCCTGTCATTTCTGCCCCTCACTGAACGCGTCATTTTACCCCCTTAATTCCCGGGCTATACAAAAGCCGCTAAGAAATGGGAGAGTGAACATCTGGGTGTTTGTTCGTAAGTCCCCAGACTGGCAATTGTAAAGGAACGTGGCATACACACCCCGCTTCTGCAGACACGTAAGAATTGTGCGGGCCTTGGCGATGGGAGCCATATTCCTAACGGTGACGCACATACTTGCCCAAATACGGAATGTGGCAGGTGGTGAGGACCTTCCCAAGCCGGTCCCCTCCCGCTCTGCTCGGAGTGAGGGAGCTGGGCTGAGTGACTCCAACGCCTTCTACTACTTTTCCCCCACCCTCTAAAAGAGAGTAAACAAAGTTAAGGTGGGAACGCGCGAGTCCCCCACGTCAGCAGAACTTCTTACTAAATGCGGTTCTTTCCACCTGGCCCAGGCTCACTTTCCGCACATATTATCAGAGGCACTCAATAAATATCCATCCATTGGATTTTTGGAAGCCTTTACAGGGCAATACTGGTCTGTCTGGTGAAATGCCCAGTAGGGTCCTGGCCACACAGATAGGAAATGTGGCTTTAACGTCTTCCCCAAACCCCTTCCCAGGTGCAGACCAATTCAAGAACCACATCCCACTCTTACACATTTACTCCAAAGAACCGATTGCCTTGATGTAAACGAATCCTGATTTGGTTAATCATTTCCACCCTTTTCGAATTTACTTATGTCATTGGATCCTCAAGTTGTGGTAGGACAGGGAGTGTTTTCACAGAAAGCAATAACAAACCTGACTCACCGCAGGCCGTGAGAGCAAAGAGATTCTCCGACTCTATAAATTGAATTTTGAAATCTGGTGCCTCTCTTCATCCCCGGGGCAGCTCAATCTGCACCTTTATCAAGTTTGCGCTTCCTTCATGGCATCTAACTTGAAATCAGAGGAAGTGCAAAAGATGTATGTGATAGCAACTTAGAAAATAACTCTTTAGCTCCTCCTGGTGATTGGGAAACAACTAAACCAGGAGGAAGGCGCTGTCCCCAGGACCTGGGTGATAGTGTGGCCAGTGCTGCATGCTGGAGCATCCACTCAAATAGCAAGTGTTTGCAGTTGAACAGGAAAAAAATGGTGCATAGTCTCCAGGGTGGGGAGGCTTTCCTCAGGACTATCTGTGTGCTGATTTCAGAACAGGCTGTGCATTAGGTTCTCCTAAGGGGAAGGGTGGAGGTGTCTGGCTAAAGTGTGAAGTCCAAACTTGTGCTTTTCTGGCAGTGTTGGGGCTTGAACCAGGGGCCTCATGCATGCTAAGCAAGTGCTCTATGGCTGTGCTTCATTCCCAGCCTGAACTCACACCTTTTTTTTCTTTTTCTCTTTTTCTCTAAGTGGGATTGGGTACAGGAGCCAAGGAGAGGTGGCCTGGACAGTGATGAAAACCCCAGGAAAACACATTCACTTGCTACTTTGTTTTCTTATACTGCCAACATACTGTCTGACTGGCAAACATAAAAGTTATAAGCTAAGAACCCAAGGAGGAAGAATGTGACTTTTCCTCCCTGAGAGACCTTTCAGCAGGAAGGTCCTAAGAGGCTGCTCATATCTAAGTATCCAGAACAGTTTTCCCACCTTGTTGGTGTTGGGCATTGAACCCAGGGCCTTGCTCCTGCTACGCAAGTAGTGCTCTACCACTGAGCTACAACCCCAGCCCTGTGTCCAGAGGCTTTTACCCTGGACCTCGCTAGGCCTAGTTAGCTGCAACTAGGTACCTAGTGAGGGTTCAGGAGGCAAGCTGCGTGTGTCGACTGTGATACAGAGAGGGAAAAAATAGTGAACTTTCACTGCTGTAGTATTGCAGCAGGCTCCAGTTTTTCAATAGT